GGAGGGAGGAGCAGGAAGGGTCTCAGAGAAGTTTGATCTCTCAGGCTCTGGATGGGTCCTTCAGTCCCTTTAAGTGGGGAACAGCTGAGAACTTTATCCTGGGGCCAAAAAGGCCCAAAGGATTCATGCTGGAGCTCTCAGGCTCCGCTCCAGTTAGAAGACCAGGATTCTGGGAAGCAGTATTCAAGATCTGGTATAAACCGCTTCCCTTTGGGAAGTGGACATAAAGCGAGTGGAGAGAAAAGGGAAATTTCACTGCCATGGGTCAGGAATGCAGCTGAATTTGTGCACGTGTGTGTGTGTGTGTGTGTGTGTGTGTGTGTGTGTGTGTGTGTGTGTCTGAAGAACCATTTTGGGAAGTGGACATAAAGCGAGTGGAGAGAAAAGGGAAATTTCACTGCCATGGGTCAGGAATGCAGCTGAATTTGTGCACGTGTGTGTGTGTGTGTGTGTGTGTGTGTGTGTGTGTGTGTGTGTGTGTGTGTGTGTGTGTGTGTGTGTCTGAAGAACCACACAAGCTATAATATATTTGAGAATCTGGAATGATACTTCTTTTAAAAAATAATAGTGTATGAGCTTCAGGTCAGTGACAAGTAAATTAAAGAACAAGGTAACACTTCTAAGGCTGAGAAAGCTCCATAAATAGTTAAGAAGGCAGAACTTCTGGAGCAAGAACCATATCTTAGCAATCTTTACTATTACTGCTTGAAACAAAAGAGGTTTACTATGTGTTTGTTGAATGAATACACAAAAAACAAAATTTAGAATGTGTTTGCTTCAATTTCATGAGATATAAAAAAGTCTTCTCAAGGGCGAATCCTATTTCTGGATATTCTCCAGTCCCAGCAACTATACTGTAAAGCATAATTCCCACAGCACATATATTCAATGGTTCAGAAACACTAAGTTATCTGAGTGGGAAGCAGTCAATGAGCAAAATCACTACCAGCAATAGTCTTCCCTGGGCTGTGCAGACTGTTCAGGGGACAGAGGGTAGGAGGGACCATACTGACGGCTGGGGTTTGGTCATAATTTAATATTTAATTTTTATATTTTATATTATAATATTTATATTATAATTTAATTTGGTGGGCTAACCTCTTCACCTTTCTATCTCTCAGTTTTCTGACCTGCAATGTAAGGATTTTGCATTACATTAGTTTTCCAAAAGATTTTAAACAGCAAAACTCATCAACTATTCCTCCCCCAAAAGAAATCTCAAGAGATTTATATAGAAAATAGGACCTCATCAACAAGGATACCTGCATAATGAATATTTGTATACCTAACCCTGAATTGTACTCCTCATCTTTCAAATAAAATAATAAAATAAGAAAAAAAAAAAAAAAAAAAAAAAAAAAAGAAAATAGGCACCACTGAAATGTCGTACATAATACTGGCCCTACCAATTCACTCTTCCAGGCCATGCCCACAGTCACCCTGAGGCCCTTCCCTGGAACCCTGGTACTCTCAGAAATACAGTTTAAAAATACTCTAAGGCAACCCTTTTGTGTCCCCTCCCACTTTGGGAGCTTTTCTGTTCTCTCAATAAATCCTGCTTTCTAAAAAAATAAAAATAAAAATAAAATGCTAGGTTGGATATCAGTTCCTATCAAATCCTTCCTTTCCTTTTCTCTCACGGCAGAGGCAGAAATGTTCCAACTTTCTCCAAACTAATCTATTTTGGTTTCATTTCTTCTTATTCTTTTGAAGACCCCTCTAGTAGTCACCCCCACTTTATCCCTTTGTTTGAGCTCTTTCCTCAATTTCTTTAAACACACTTCTTTCTCAAAAGAGAAGCCTCTTGCTTGGAGGTCCTATTAGCTATTAATTCATACATCCGTTTAAAAAACATTAAAAAAAATGTCGTGACCCATTATGTCTCTGACTGTGCCGGGTCCTAAAATTCCCTGGTGAACAAGACAGACGCTTCCTGATTGTCATGGTGTTTATTACAGATTAAAAAATTTTTAAATCTGGCTCTGCCTCTTCCCCAAGTTACAGCATTTGCTACTGACATTGATGACATGTCACCTTCCAGTTCATATATATAATGAAGTCAGGAAAAAATCCAAGTAACTAAGAGTGCTTTGCCAATGTTCAGTACTTTCTCAAAAACAGGGTCTTTTGGCAAGATCCCAAAAAAGGTTTTCTGGGAAAAAGATCTGGAATCAAAGGAGGATAATAATCAAGATTGAGAATAAAAATATAAGAAACTAACTTTTGAGTAAAATGGGGAGAATTAAAATTTTTTTGTCCTGTTTGCTGGCAATAGAAAGCTAGAAAATAAAAGCTGAAGTATAAAGTCAAAAGAGAAGGACTAGGAAATCCAGTAACGTAGGGAGCAGTGTCGCAGCTGAACTTACAGCAGACTACAGCCCCTGCTTATTTTTCCTAAAAGGCTTTCGCACACCAGCACTCTGGGTCGGCGCTTGTCACAGCTGCCAATTACACTTGAAGCAAAGCAGCTTCAAGTGGCCCGATCACTGCAGCAGGCAACCCTACTCATCCAGAAGTCGCAAAAGCTTCTAAAGAGGTTCAGGAGCCACAGATTATGAAGATATCTGAATTCAAGAGATCTAATCAATTAAGAAAAATAATTTTGTTACTTTGCTAACTGTTACTGCTGAAGATCAAGGAACAACTCCTCTCCTATGGTCTGGTTCAGGATTTTTGCCTCACAAACATCAGTAATTTCTGGCAGAATGAGGACAGGCTCTAATACCTCTCTTTCAAATACTGAGTTAAAGATAGAGGTGATGTAATAAAAAAGGAAACAGAATTATTTTATTCTGAGTTTTACTATTAAGTTTTTGTGCCACTAAGTGACCTATATCTTACTGCTTTAACACAAAAGATGGTCATTTCTGAGTTGTGACTGAACCATGTGCTTCTCCAAAAGAAAACTTAAAAAAATTTTCATTTTGCTTTTTAGTTCTTAGTTCACAGGCTAATTTTCACCGCTGATATAAATGGGCCACAAAGTCAAATCCTCAATACACTTTTAAATCTCTCAACCGTTATATCTTTAGGAACCAAAACTTGCTTAAAATAGGTGAAATCTGAAGCATAGTATAGAAGAATTAGTTACAATTGAGAAAAACAAGATGGAGAACTCTTAGAAAAAGCAATGATGTGAAGTAGGAAATTCCATTCTCTTTTTTAAAGGCTGAAAAGTGAATGTATATCCTTCATACTGTTCACCCAAGTCAAGAGTGTGAATATGGGTAATGTGCCACTGAAGTACCATCAGGGTGAGAGCTGCATTTCCGCACAAGAGTATTACACAGCCAGCAGACTTACATCTGACGCTAAGCACTTCACTCTTCAAACCCCTTCAAAAAGCATGCTCACTGGCTGAGCACAGATAGGGCACGGCTTTGCTACGTCCACTCTAGCTACCCATCTAGACCAGCTGGAGAAGCAGTTCCACAGCACACAAGGGCAGCTGGATTGGGGAAGGAGATACAGTATGAGATGTGGCTATCATTTCAAAGTATTTACCGGATTGCTACCTTAGGGTTCCCAAATAAAACTTATATACTGAACTCCTTAAAACTTGTATGTTCTCCTTAATCTAGAAAAAGCAACCCAATGCTATTAAAGCTGTTTTATACATTATAAATTCACTAGAAACTAATCAACATGTATAATACTGGTGATTCAGTATTAATGAATTACAAAATCTACTTATAGAATTCACAGTAAAGCTTAAAAATGTTTAGAAATCCACCCATACAATAAACTTTCTATATGAAATGGAGAAATGAACCATATTTTAAATATGAACGTAAAATCATTTATCTCTATCTATTATATGTAATGGGGTATACTTGATCAAAGTATATGCTGCTTCAAGTAATTTGATCATTTAAAATAATAACTTTAACTAATTGGGCTTAACATTATCTATGTATTAATATGACGCTTTTTGCTGCACTGGACTAATATCTAACACAAAACTTTACTTATTTGTAAAGACTCTGAATGATATATTCAAAGTAATGAACTTCTTGAGAAAGTACTATGAAGTAAGGTGGAATGTATCAAAAAACAGCACTGAAAATCAAACACCTTGTTACTCACGATTAGCTGTTTCAATCCCACAAAAGACTGCTCCACTGAGCTGGCATTTAGGACTTGTCTCTTTGCTGCTGCTTTTTCACCCAGAAAACGAAGCATCAAGTCTTTAACTGCATCTCCCTGGAAAGAATATAAGAAAAATATGTCAAGACAATAAAATGTCAATTAAACTCAGCTAACCAGAACCTATAAATAAACAAAATTTCTTTTTTTCTCCATTGGCTTATAGAGGTGAAAATAATGGTTAGAGTATCATAAAACTTCAATTAACCAGAAGTTAAATTACCACAAGCGTTAATAAAATGTATAATTTTATAACTGCTCTTTATTCTTTTTATTTTACTTTTTTTTCTGTATTCCCCACTGATCTGAAGGCATGTTCTTTATTTTGAAGAGGAAATGGCAAATTGCCACCTGCACCAGGCTTACAGCAAGAGGCAAAACCAAGCTAGGAGAGGGGCTCCAGGTGATGGGCTAGGGAGGCCTGGGAGTGTGAGGAGACACTGTTAGGGACAAGGGTCTGTGGTCACTGAGAGCACCATGCAGTGGCCAGAGTCTTGTGGGGCAGGCAAGCCTGAAAGGTCTGCCCAAATCCAGTCAATTCCCCACGACTGCCTGGTCCTCTGAGAAAGTGCTCAAGGCTGGTGCCAAGGAAGTTGAGTTACCAATGACAGGGAGGGGTAGACTCCTTTTCAGTGCTAAGTTCATCAGCTAAGCCAAAGGAAAATGGAAACTCCCTTACCCAGCAGGTCCTTTATAGCTTGCAGAATCAGGCCCTGCTCACAGGAGTTGGAGGTGTCCTTTATACTGCAAATGAGGGAAGGGTCTGTCTTTGCTTCTGCTCAGAGCAATTTCTATCTCCTAACCTGACTCTTCAGATTATGCCAATCTTTAGACTGGGCTAAAGAACATTAAAAGAGGAATCTGAAGCACGTTACTTACTTTATTTTATTTTATTTTTGTAGAGACAAGGTCTCATTATGCTGCCCAGGCTGGTCTTGACCTCCTGGCCTCAAGTGAAACTCCCGTCTCAGCCTCCCAAAGTGCTGGGATTACAGGCGTGAGCTACCACGCCTGGACATGTTATTTACTTTAAAGGGAAGACACAGAAAGGCAAGGGGGAGGAAGAAAAGGTCCTTTTGTGCAGCCTGGGGAAAGAAGAGATGTCCCAATGACTGCAAAGATCAGGGAGAAATCTATCAGCTGGTGTGAAACATAGTGATATGCTAAAGCAAGAAGTCAAGTGTTCAGCATTCATAAATCAGCATAACCCCCATGGCCACAGAAAAAAGGAAAAGTAGGTCCAAGCTGGAAGTTATTAGGCTGAATGTCTATGGAGACAAGCTAGTCATCACGCTGGTAATGAGAACACTGTCATGGTTCACAGGACTCAGTGCTGTTTGGTAGCTATATTGCAGGCCAAGGGAGAGCCCAGGGTGAGGGCCTACCCAGCAGACACAATGCCTCTCAGTGAGCAGCACGAAGGACACTCACAGGGGGCCTAGCACGCACAGTTCTGCAGGGTCCGTCACAAGGAGAAGTCACAGGCAGCCCAGCACAAAGAGCTGTGATGGGGACAAAGCTCTGGCCATCTCTTTCCCTTCTGGAGGTGCTGCTGCCCAAAAAAAGGTACTGGTGAGGGGCAAGAATGCTGAGGTCCCTGAAATGCCCTGAAACAGGGAGCAGCCCAGAGGGAGGGAGCATCCTAAGAGAGAGGGCAGGGCTCTGAGGTCCTGGAAATGCTGTGGGTGTCTGGTAGGGCATCCTTGTGGCTGCTGACAGAGGGACACAGCACCAAGGCTCGGCGGTCTCTCAGATGGTCAGAAGAGAGAAACTAAAACTAGGGCAACCTCAAGAGGGGGTAGGACAAAGCCAAAACCTTTCTAGCTCAGCACAAAGCCTGCCTTCCAGCCACAGGGAAGCGAATGCTGACACTGTAGATGGACAGCAGAGAGCAAATGTGCCTGAGAATAGAGAGAAAATCAATGTGGAAACGCTCCCTGTATGGATCTCACACGTCTCAGATCTCTTCCTATTGTTCTCCAACTCTTGTTGGGAAAAAATTAAAAGCCTAGAAGCAGTCCTACTAATAAGCAAGGTTATTTCAATCTTCTGCTATCTTTCAAACTGGGGACACTTAAAGGCAGCATTGAAACTCTAAGCAAGAGATGCAGAAAAGCTGCTGACACTGCCTGCTTCTCCTGCCCTGCTGACATACTTCCCCTGGGAGGGAGACTGACAGCCTGTGGCAGGAAGGGCTTGGTGGCTCCAGGTCACAGGTCTCTCTCTTCCCTGGGTGCTGAGCCTGCTGCTTGTAGAGGCCAGACCTCGCATCTTCTCACACTGAGGCAAAGGCCGAGGAGCAGCCGTTCTATAATTTCTGCTTTCAGAGAGGAAGGTAAAGTACTTCAAACACCAGAGTCGCAAAAGCAGTGAACGGATCTAGGAGTGATGATTGAAGGGCAAAATACAAAGAGTTCAGACATATGGCTCTAAAAAGCTTTGCAAAAATGCAACTCATATCAGACAAAGAGCATTATCTCAGCCAGAGGAGTAGCAAGCTGGGCAGAGAGCAAAATAAAATCTTAATGCTGGGGAGGATGAACCAGTTTACTTTCCCCATCCTTGCAACATAATAAAAAAAATAAAACAACAACAACAACAACAAATTCTCAATTAGTGAGACTACATTGCAAAAATGGCTTGTCCTGAAAATTCTCCGTGAGTTAACATTTTAGTTGCCACAGGAAGTGTCTAAGATATTAGCACATGTACAACTAACAATATCCCACCTATAGAAAGTTCAAGGGTGTAAGAGATGTCTTAAGACAAACCGAACCCTTGCTGTGTCACTAAATGGAAGGCATTTATGGCCAGTGAGATGAAGTCACCCTTTACTGCATCCCCTCAGCAGTTACTACAGTGAGGGAAGTGGGTTTTCTGCCAGGGGTTTCTAGAGAGCTACGCCCTGTGCCAGGAATGGGGTAGAACCAATGGACTCCTCCAGATCAGCAAACCATGAAGTGAGGCCAGGTTTAGGGAACATGGGGAGGATGCCATGTAAATGTATCACAATCTGGGACTCATTATGGTCTGCCAGTGGGGAATGCCACCCCGCTCTCCTGGTCACACATGTTTATGGAAGAGCAAGTGGCTGGTTCTCACAGCTCAGATGGTCATGGGGCTGCTGTCCCTCCTGCAACCTGGGAATAGTCTTAGAACCATTTTAATTTTAATGGCAAGAATAGCAGCTGATTCAACATGTATGGGCCTAACTGTCTGGGACACCTAAAGATGGTCATGGGGCAGTGTCATTTAGAAGCCAGCAGCAACTGCACCTGGCACAGAACACACGGAACTTTCTTTACATCTTCAGTAGAGAAACGTGCTGCTTATCCTGGGAGTGCTCTACCCTCTCACTCTTGTATTGCTTTCCCCAGGGGAAGTGAAACCCCTGAGCAAAAAATGACAAACAAAAACAAAACAAAATAAAACCCAAACCTGAGGGTGTGTAGAAACTGGAATCCTCATACATCAGTAGGAATTTAAAATAGGACAGTCATTTTGGAAAACAGTCTGGTGGTTCCCCAAAATGTTAAACAGAGTTACCATATAACCCAGCAACTCCATATCTAGCTATATATTCAAAAGAACTGAAAGCATGTCTACACAAAAACTTGTACATGAATGTTTATAGGAGTATCACTCATAATAGCCAAAAGGTGACAACAAACCAAGTGTCCATCAACTGATGAATAGATAAAGTATGGAATATCCATACAATGGAATATTATTTGCCAATAACAAAGAATGATGTACCGATACATGTTACAACATGAACGACTCTTAAAAATGTTATGTTCAGTTATAGAAACCAGTCAGGAAAGACCATGTCTTGTATGACCCCACCTATGTGAAATGTCCAGAATAAGAAAACACACAGAGACAGAAAGATTAGTGGTAGTCTCCTTCCCTCCCTCCCTCTCTTTCTCTCTCACTCTTTCCCAGGGTCTTGCTCTATTGCCCAGGCTGGAGTGCAGTGACTGGATCATAGCCCACTATAACCCTGAACTCCTGAGCTCAGGTAATCCTCCTACCACTGCCTCCTTAGTAGCTAGGACTACAGGTATGCACAACCATGCCTGGTTAATTTTAAAGTTTTCTTTTAGGGACAGGAGTCTCACTATGTTGCTCAGGTATGTGGCCACCTAGCTAAAGCTTCCTGAGTAGCTAGGATTATGGGCATGAGTCACTATATATCACATTTTCTTTATCCACTCATCTGTTGATGAACACTGAGTTTGACTCATTATCTGGGCTTCTGTGAATAATCTGCAGTGAACATGGGAATGCAGATATCTCTTTGGGATACTGACTTCAATTTTTTATATATATCTAGAAGGGGAGATTGCTGGATCATATGGCAATTCTATTTTTCATTGCTTTCCATAATGGCTGCAATAATCTACATTCCCACCAAAAGTGTACAAGCATTCCCTTTTCTCCACACCCTCACCAACGCTTGCTATCTCTTGCATTTTTGATAACAGATATCCTCAGGCATGAGGTCATATCTCATTGTGGTTTTGATTTGTATTTCCCTTTTGATTAATGGTGATTTCTAGACCTTTGGTTGAATACAAATCTTTCTGAGAGAATTGTTTATATCATAGATAGAAATACAATATAATATAAACCAAGGAGCCCAGAACAAGGTAAACAGGACCTGAGTTCTGGTACTAGTTTTGCAATGAACTGGCAGCATTCCCTTGGGTAAATGGGCCACAGTGTACTGCAACAATCCATTTGCAAGTCTGCTTTCCCTAATACATCTGAGTCTGGGCTCGCAGGGGAGGAATCGTGCTCTCCCCCCTTGCATTACTAGGATAGTAGATGACTGGGTACAGCAAGTTTATTGATGAATGCACAAATCACTTTGATCTCAGTATTCTCATCATAAAAGGGAGCTGAGAGTTCACTGGTGGACTGTAGAAGAGACAGTAGCAATGATTTCTTTGCTTTTCTGGAGGTTTCTGGGGTAGATCCTGACAAGAAGACTCTGAGTAGCCTAAGAAAGGCAGGGATTTTAGCACAGACTGTATGGGCATTCCTGATGGGAATTCTGTGAAATACAAACTGCAGGAGGGGTGAAGGGAAGAAAAAAATTAGGGGAACAGTATGAGAAAGGGATACAGGAAATATCCAACCTCAAAGTCTGTATGTCATACTTCTAGATCTCTCAGCAGGCCAGGACATTCATTGCAAGGGGCCTGTGACACTGCCCCAGGAGCTAAAACTCTGTTCCTTGACTACTGAAATTTTGCTGCTTTTATTTTTATTCCCCTCTCTCTCATTTTCATGAACAAGCCCTATGCAACCAATTCTCCACTTTCATTCCTTAAGGGTTCTGAACTATTATTTCCCCACAAACTCTCCATTTACTTCTTTAAGAAGAACAAATGTCTTCTATAATTATTTATTCCATCTATATAATTAGTTGAAAATGCAAATATGTTCTTTGTGTGATGCTACTATAGTTGGATGAGGTTTTACAAACTTACCTTTTAGGTGTCTAATCTAACTTAGATTGACATAAAAGTCACTTAATAAAAATGTAATCCGTTTAACAAATTAAATTTTATCCCATAGGAAGGGGATTTTTAATTAGGTACCAAAAGGAGAACAATTTTGAAAAAAAATTCAAATCCAAGTATCTTAGACAACTGATTTAGAACAAACAACACTTTAACTGTAGCAGGGACAGAGGGGGAAAACTGCCAATGGGTAAGCCTAACAAGTGTTTGGTTAACATCTTAAAATCTTGGTATGCATGGAAAGTTAATAGAGAAACTACTGTTTGTCCCAACCATCTTAGGATCTCAGCATTTCTATTCAAGGAAAATCTTAAGTCCTCTGAAGGATAACATACAATTGAAGAGACAATGAGCAAGCAAATATCTAACATTTGTTATATGTGCAAGTCAAAAGTATTTTGGTAATATTTTTCTTACTTACCATGAGGCTTCTAATACAACCACTGTGAATTGCAAGAAGTATGAAAGACATTACTTTAGGATTTCAAAAAGAAAATTCACTACTTCCTGGTTGGCCTATGCATGCAATGGGTGCTACGTATGTAATGGGTGCTACACTTTATGGGTGCTCCATAAAAGTGCTGACTGATGGAATGACCCACTTTTGCATGGTCACCCATCTGGAACTGAGGAGGTAAGGAACAGAAGTTTTAAGCAACGGAGGACCTGTCACAGAACCATGTCCTTTATTTGTAGATAGAGCCTCCAAATTTGGTTTAATCTAGGATAAACAAGCACATAATTTTAGCAGTTGTGTTTCTCAACTCAAGAATGACCTACATTTTGGGTAGGTGAACTTTTATTATGTGAAACTACCCAGGCACTGCAGGATATTTAGCATTCTAGGCTGCACCAAATAGCATTATATAGTCACCCCAGTTGTTTTGTCAACCAAACTTTAGAGCACACATAAATACTAAGGGGACCTCCGAAAAAACTGGAATTTATTTATATAAAATTGTGTATTTATTCTCACATGTTTAAATTTCAGACACCTTCAGAGTACTCTCCATTTGATGTATTACACCTATCAAGACACTTTTGAACTCATCAATTTGTTTTTGTTGTTGTTGTTTTTTGAGTTTAAGTCTCACTTCGTCTCCCAGACTGGAGTGCAGTGGCCGCTCCTGGCCACTGCAGCCTCGACCTGTTAGGCTCCGGCAATCCTTCCGCCTCAGCCTTCCAAGTAGCTAGAACAACAGGCGCACGCTACCACACCCAGTTAATTTTTTGATTTATTGTAGAGATGAGTCTCATCAAGTTGCCCAGGCGGGTCTCGAACCCGCGGGCTCAGGCAATCTGCTCACCTCGGCCTCCCACAGTGCAGGATTACAGGCTGAGCCACCGAGCCTGGCCTGAACTCGTCAATTTTGATGACTTTTAATGCATCTGCTGTTTTTTGTTTCATCTCTTCCACAATGGCAAAATGTTTCCCTTTGAGGACTTTTTTTATCCAGGGAAACAAAAAAAAAGTCACTCTCGGAGAGGTCAGGTGAATAGGAAGTGTGAGTAATGGAAGTCATGCCATATGGTCAAAAGCTGCTAAACATTCAGTGTGGTGTGGTCAGGCTGTTTGTGTAAATCACTCATTATGAAATGGGCAAACCTGTTGAAAGAATCTCCAAAAAAAATTAACTGAAGCTAAATGAAGCCTCTCACAACAATGCTAACTGGTTCACTGATGCTGATGGGTTCTAGAATACTTACCTAGTGGGGGAAGCTTGTACTACAAGGGGTCTGCCCTCTCAAAAATAATTTTTTTGGGGACCTCTTTGTACACAGCATTTACATGCTTTTGCGATTTATTATTTTTGGGGCAATTCATATTTTTAATTATTTCTTTTTTGTGTGTGTCAGAGTCTCACTCTGTCACCCAGGCTGGAGTGCAATGGCACGATCACGGCCACCACAGCCTCAATCTGCTGGGCTCAGGTGATTCTTCTGCCTCAGCCTTCCAAGTAGCTGGAATCCCAGGCATGAGCCACTATGTCTGGTTAATTTTTTAAAATTTGTTTATTGTAGAGATGAGGTCTTGACAAGTTGCCCAGGATGGTCTTGAACTCCTGGGCTCAGGCAGTCCTCTCGCCTCTGCCTCTCAAAGTGCTGGGATTATAGGCATGAGCCACAATGCCTGGCTCATATTTTTCTTACTGAATCTAAAAAACTCTATACCAAACACATTATATATAATAGAAACGTTTTTCCATATTAAAAAAAGAAATGGGTTTATCATTAACTGGAATTCAAATGTCACAACCTGATTACACAGAGTATAGAACTAATTCAGGATATTAAGGTATAACAATCTACCTTGCTGGTGCTTATTCCTATGACTCTGAGTGGTACATTATACACATCATATTAGGGAAAACAAGAGTTCCAAATTACCTAGTGACAAAATAACATAGACTCTCACAATCAGAATTTTAGGAACTACTTAAAATAAGAATTTTTTTCATTCCTTGAAAGGAATTGTGTATATTTTACAGACATAGATTAAAAGGGATGAGATGTGAACACAGAAATATTCCACATCTTACCTGGATGTTGTCGAACCTGAGGCCTGGCATGGTGAGGTTCTCCTTGTCTACGAACACAGTGCTGTACTGCTGGGTGGCTACCGCAGTCAGGATGTCTTGGGTCCCCTGGCTGGGAAGCCAGGCATCGTTCCTTCGGTCCATCTCACTCATGCTCAAGGCTGTGGCAAAGGGGTCATCGCTCCCTGCAAATACTGCTTGGATCTGTGAAAATGGTTTTGGAGACTCAGGAATTTCTATAGAAGCTGTGCAAACACCTGATTCTGATTTTTCAATCCCTGCAGAATATGAAGGGTCTGCAGAATCAGGGGATGTTTCTCCCACCGGACTAGTGAGTGAAGACAATTTTTCTGGAACTGAAGAGCCTGCATTAGGATTACTGACAGAAATGAAAGTGGAAGTAGTGAAGGAATCAAAGAAGTCAGAGGCCAAAGAATTAGTGTTGACCGTATCTCCAAAAAATTTACTCAGGCTGGGACTGGGTTGGACCACCTGAGGAGGGGTCTTTGCTGATGTCTCACTAGCACTGCTGAAACTAGGAGATTTTACCATTTGAGACTCGAAGCCATCGTGCAGAAACAAGTGAGGCTGGGCAGGTGCTGAACTGGACTTGCTGAAAATGGTGCACACAGGAACAGGCTCATCTTTAGATGAGGATCGACTGGAAGACATTTCTGAGACCTGCTCTTCTGGGTGGGTCTTTTCTTCCCTTGGTGCTGAGTTCTCTGCCTTTTCATTCTCAAATGCAGACATACCTTTCCCTTTTTTTGTGGAGTCCTCTTTCAAAGACCCTCTGCTATCAGAGGTCATGTCGGAGACGTCTTTTGGTGTATTGTCTCCATCAGTTTCACTGCCATTACTCAGAGTGTCCATTTCTTCTTTATCTGTGATATTTTCCAGTCTATGATCAGCATTGCTTTCTATGGGTTCCACCACATCCTGCAAACAACCAAGGTCACCCACGTCATCTTCACTGTTATTAGGAGAATCAGAAATGAGGACACTTTCCATCATGTGTTCATTAAGCTTATCTACAAAATTATTAGACTCTTCTGATATGGTCTCATTCTCTTCAGAACCAAATTCATCTCCACCAAGATCAATGGTTTCCTCATGAAAAAGAAGCTGCCCCTGTTCTTCCTGAGACACCTGTGAAGTGATGTGCTCAGTTCCCACCTTGGCCGGTGGAGACTCCTCAGTCATGGTCGGGTCACCTCCTTCAGCATTCTCCATGTTGCCTGAAACAAAGACAAACAGAAGTAACCTCATCAGCTTTAGTTATTATTAAGTTAATTTTTATCTTGCTTTTCTTAAGTAAAAGGATGTTTATTGGTTATACAGTCAAATGATTCAAAATTCAAAAACTTCCATTTTGCCAGTTTTTAAAATTTTTTAATGGTGGCAAAATGCATATAACATAGAATTTGCCACCTTAACCATTTTTAAGTTCAGTGATGTTAAGTACACCTACATTGCTGTGTAACAATCTCTAGAATTCTTTTCATCTTGTGAAACTAAAAATCTATATCCATTAAATAACTCCTCATATACCCACCCCCACTATCCCTGGGCAATCAGGTAGTCAAATAAGACAATATTTGTCTTCTTGTGACTGGCTTATTTTACTTGGCATAAAGTCCTCAAGGGCTATTCGTGTTGTAGCATGTGCTAGAATTTATATTCCCCTGTATGTATATACCATATTTTATTTATTCATTTACCAGTTAATGAATACCAGGGTTACTTCCATCTTCTAGCTATTGTAAATACTGCCGCTATGAATCTGGGTGTAACAAATATCTCTTTGAGATGCTGCTTCCAATTATTTTGGGTTTACATCTGAACGTGGAATTGCTGAATCATAAGGTAATTCCTTTCTTATTTTTTTTGAGGAAATGCAAAACTGTTTTTCATAGTGGTTGAACCACTTTGCATTCCTACTAACAGTGTACGAGTATTACAATTTTGCACACTCTTGCCAATACTGGCTTTATTTTATTTTAGCCCTTATAAATAGGGTCTTCAGTCATTTAAACACTACTTATTTTATGAGACTCAGTTGAAGTCCTCTCAAGACACTCCAGCCTATAATGATCTCTTTGCATTCCCCTGATGAGTTTATAATATTGTCAACTTAATTTTAGAAACTGGAGACAGTGAGAATGACATGAAAAAGTTAAACAGTAAGAAAACAAAGTCAGGCTGGGCACAGTGGCTCAGCCTATAATCCCAGCACTTTGGGAGGCTGAGGCGAGTGGATTGTCTGAGCTCACGGGTTCAAGACCCACCTGGGCAACTTGGTGGCACCTCGTCTCTACAGTAAATAAAAAACTAAGTGGGGCATGGTAGTGTGCGCCTGTAGTTTTGGCTACTTGGAAGGCTGAGGCAGAAGGATCGCCAGAGCCCAGCAGAATAAGGCTGTGGTGGCCAGGAGTGTGCCACTGCACACCAGTCTGGGTGATAGAGTGAGATTCCAACTCAAAAAAAAAGAAAAAAAAAAAAAAAACAAAGCCATGCTCATTGAGCACTGACAGCTGAAGCTGATGAAAAACTAGATAACATTTATTGGCACTTACTATTACCTGGCTATATACTGGGGGGACCCAAAAAAACCCAGGATTATTTTTTGGACGGTGGGCCCCTTGTAGCACAGGCTTCCTATGCTAGGTAATTGTTCTAGGAATCCATCGGCATCCGTGTACCAGCTAGCATTGTTGTGAGAGCCTGCATTCAGCTTCAGTGAATTTTTTTTTAGAGATTCTTTCAACACATTTGCCCATTTCATGATGGGTGATTTACAAGCACATCTGCTCAAACCACGCTGAATGTTCAATTTTTGACGAAAAAAATGGCATGACCCTGGTGCCCCCATTCTCCCTATTTATCTGATCTCACCCAGAGTGAACTTCTTTTGTTTCCTTAGATGAAAAAAGTTCTCAAAGGGAAACATTTTGCAGATGTGGAAGAGGTGAAGCACAAAATGGCAGAAGCACTAAAAAGTATCAAAATTGATGAGTTAAAAAACTGTTCTTGGTGGCTCAGCCTGTAATCCCGCGCCTTTGGGAGGCTGAGGTGAGTAGATTACCTGAGCCCGCGGGTTCGAGACCCGCCTGGGCAGCAAGACCTCATCTCTACAATAAATAAAAAAATCAGCTGGGCGTGGTAGCGTATGCCTGTAATTCCGGCTACTCGAAAGGCTGAGGCGGAAGGATTGCTGGAGCCCAGCAGGTTGAGGCTGCTGTGGCCGGGAGCGGCCACTGCACTCTAGTCTGGGCGACAGAGTGAGACTCCAACTCAAAAAAAAGCAAAAAAACCCCAAAAATACAAACATAAAAACTGTTCTGAGCAGTGGAAACAGCATCTCAATAAGTGTATTGCATCAAGCAGAAGTACTTTGAAGATGACTGATGTTTAAACATGTACGGATAAATACACACTTTTCATAAATAAATTCTGAGACTTTTTTGGGTTTCCCTCTGTATACATATATTTGATACTCAGATCACTCTATAATATAGGTGCTATCATTGTTTTTGTCTTGCAGATGAGGAAACTTGAGGCTTAGAGAGGCTACGTAGCTTACCAAAATCACATAGCTAGTGAGTGGTGACACTAGGACCAGCTGCAGCTGGAATGCTGGATTGCCATTGGCTGGTGGAGGCCACAGTATGAGACAAGCAAAGAGTCTGGACTCTCAAAAAGTATTTGTTCCTTTCCTTGAATAACTTTTTTTTTTTGGGGGGAAGTTATCTTATATAGTCCCACTCTCATAGTGAACAAATTCAAGTTAAGTAAACCTAAAAGACTATGATAAAAGATGAAAGCTTTCCCAGAGAAAACAATACTAAGTTTTTGACTTCAAATACTAAACTTAGCCGATCAGATTATAATCTGATAAGGTTATCCTGTCAACGCTGCTATCAGAGTATGCTAAATTAGCTATCCTTAATTATCCAACAATTATTAGGTATAAATTAGTAAAAAATACAATTACAAGAAATAAAACCTGTCTTCCTGCATGTTTCGCTGTAAGCCCAAAGAGGACTCCAGAACACCAACAAGGGGTGTACCCTTGCATAGTACGGCTTTTCTGTAGCTGTCTACCTGTGCAGGAAGTGGGGGCTGGGCACAGAGCCCAGCCAAACAACTGGCATGAAGCTGTGCCCTTTGCACTCTCCTACCAGAACTTGAAATCACAGTGATCTTCAGTTTTTATATCCTAGCAATACGTGATTGTTCCAAATAAGGTTATGATAAGAGTTAAGGGAATCTCCTTCTCTCTCATCTCCTTTTAACCCTAATAAGGTTCTAAGCTCTAAAGTTAATTCTGATCCAGTTTCATAGATAGCTTTAAAATTTTATTTCTTTTTATGAAGATACTTTTCAAAGAAAAATATCTTACTAATAATGAAGATGACACTGCTTTAAACCTCTAAGATTACGGGAAATCTGTTTATCAAAGATATGATAACAAAGAACATTGCCTAGAAAGACATCATCAAAATAATAACTAAGGTAAAAATGCTTCTAAGTTAAAAAGTTAAAACTTTATAAATCATAAGCTAAAGAAAATTGATAAAATACGAATGTTTAAAATTTCATTAATATCTGCAAACCACTTAGGAGAAGAGAGGGAAAGAAAAAATAAATTTGATTCTTTAAATAAATACTAAAGGAATACAGTCTTAATAGCTTTCCTTTTACACACACAGATATAGGAAAATACTTGTAAGAATCTGAGAATTTACTTCTCTGGAAAAATCAAAAGTCAAATGAAAATGATATAATAAAACATGACTTAGATGATAAGTATATATGAGTAGGAAGACATACATATTATGTAGCTATACATATATTATTTCTCTATATATGTATATATATAAATTGCATTTATAGCATTTTGAGATAAGGCACATGCCATTTGTCACTTCTTCACTTCTAAGTGTTTCCTTACTTTAGTCTTATTCACATGTAAGGTAGACACTAGTATTAACCACCTACCTATAACAGGAATATGTAGTTCTATAACCATTAAAAAAGTAGACTCAGTAGCTAAAAGTCTTCCCACAAAGAAAATATAAGGTGCAAATAGTTTATCAGTGAATTCTACCAAAAATTCAATACAGATAAATCCTATTATACAAAAACTCTTGCAGAGAAGAGAAAAAACAACACATGATCCAATTCACTTTATAAGGCTAATTTAACCTCGAAACCAAAATTCGACAAGCCATACTAAAAGGAAAACTAGAATCTTGCTCATGAACACTAATGAAAAAAAGCTGAAAATATTAGCTAACTGAATCTAGTAAAGTATTTGTTTTCAAAGCAAATCAGTTTATCCCATAGATGAGCTGTTAGGAAATTTATTTATGTAATTTAACACATTAAAGAGTTAAGGAAATTACATGACTATCTCAATCGATGTAAAAGAAAGTATTTGATAAAATTCAACATCACTCACGATAAATCCTCTTAGCAAACTAGAAGTAGAAAGTAACTTCCTTAATGCAATAAAGAATATCTACCAAAAGCCTGAAGAAAATCTCAAATTAATGGTGAGATGTTTAAAGCATTCTCTCTAAAAGTAGGAAAAAGATAAAGTTGCCCTCTTCAATGTTTTATTCTGCCTAATGCTGGAGGCCCCAGGTAGCACAGTAAGATAGAAAACGTAACTAAAAGCTTAAAAAAGAGAAACTGAATCTTCATTCCTTGTGTATTACGTAATTATTTATCTAGAATATCTAGACTACACCAAAAATCTAGGGTGTAAAAGTTGAAATATCACAAGAGTAACACCGATCAAGGGAATACGTTGTATAGATCAGGGGAAGAGATGGGCTTTCCATAAGTGATGCTTACATAGCTTCTTATACACATAGGAAAACTAATCTCAGAAAAACCACAGGTTTTAATCTTTACTAGAATCAATCATGCGCATTCATCGCTTCACCTGGAATGACTGCCAGCAGCTCCTTTGGTTAAACTCAGAAAAAAGGTCAAAAAAAGGTTAAATAAGGTTTTTCCCTCCTCTTGCCTAAACTGAGACCCTAACACTTTGGTAGGGTCCAGGACATTAAAAATTTTTCACTGGACTCTTTAGCAGGTTTAAAGGGGGCAGCCCCAAACCCCATTAATTTATCTAAAACTACTGAGGTTCTCCAGGGACCCAAGGCGTCCCCAGGGGAATTCTTTGAACATCTCCAAGAGGTGTTTCGAACCTACACCCCTTTTGACC